GGAGTCGGAAGTACCCGGCAAAAATGAGAAGACAGGGAGTACAGCGATTCCAGAGTGGTGTCGTATTTCTGAGCTCTCATCAACTGATGTTCCAGCCTACTACAGGGAACACTGTTGTAAAATCTTTATCAGAGGTGTGGTGTTGTGCATTTCGTTAATTTCTTGTTCATGGACGCTCTTAGGCGTGTGGTCATACCAAACCTGCTTACTGAACAAAACTTTTCCTAGGATGAATGGCTGGTGGTTGATGTGACTGATGATAGATATTCTCTCGAAGGTGAATGCGCCACCCCTGCCCCCCCCCATTCCCCCCCCGCCCTATTCCAAAGACGAGCAAATACAACCCCTCCCTCTTGTGGTCTCCGTGAAGCGAGAAAAAATCAACTATCGAAAAAACATTCTCAGATCCAATACGACCTCCCCTCCCTCGAGCAACAAAATACGCCCTTGTCGCAGTTCAGAGAGAGACCGCCCTACTAGTCCTCTCCCACGACGAGCATCAGTGTATCGAAATCCGCTCACCCACCATTAGCCCACCTCAGTCTCACAGTTCCCCGGGGACTATACCGCTTTCCCGCACGATATAGCCTCCGTTCCCCGGGGGACCACCCGGGCCTAAGCCCGTGGCAGGCTGCAGGGGACGGCAGCCCATGAACAGGCATGTCCCCGTGGTGGGTCCGACCTCCCCCATGTCCGTCCTGGACCCCCGGGTCAGCCGGCCCCTACCACTGTTACAGCCTGCCGTAACCGGTCCAGTTACATGCCTACCTGGCTCACCTGGCCCTGAGGCATGCAACAGCCGAATAACAGAAACATAACAACCAACAACCTGTACCTACAACCGACCAGCCCCTTGCGGACCCATCTGCCCGGTCGCTCCCGAGTCCCACCTATTACAAACATTACAAGATAAATAAACTTCATATTTATTGACTTACGTGTCTGCGGTAACCATCTTCACGTGGGTATGCGGTAGCCATGCTTGCAACCTGTTCATATCCTGCGTAGCTGGATGAACATCGCTTCCAACGTTCAGGCGATCCTAGCGGCAAATGGCACCCTGCGGCTACAAGCTGCAACCCGCAGCCGGCCGTGCCTTCGGGTCATAGCAGGCACGGGCCTGAGCCAGAGCTCCGCCAGACGGAGCAGTGTGCCCGACCACACTGCTGTACAGAGTGCAAGCACCCTGCAGAACCGTCCGCATAATGCAGAGCGGGTGCCCGGTGGATCTCTCCTCCCGGAGGGAGAGAAGCACACCGACTGGCTCGCAGCAGCCCTTATAAGGGCTCCACTGGGGGCGGGGCGGCGGCGCGGCCTTCGGCGGTCGCGTCGCGGCTTTGCCGTGTAGCGCGCCAGAGCCGTCAGGCGCACGGGACCCGGCCACGTTGTCGCGAACCGCACAACGGCCTGATCCCGCTGAGGACTCTTTTAAGTATGACGTGGTGATGTATTAACTTTGGGTTGAGTAGCATCGAGATTTTTTTTCTCGCTGACGAAGGTATGCATACACATATCACGGTATTCCAGATGATTTCTGCTATTTGTAACATCGACGCAACCGCATCTGTATTCACAATTCTTGCTCAGATTCAATAATCGAAGTTTTTGGAAGACTAGAAATGGTTTCTCAGAAGAGCGAGAATGGAACGCGATGAGTGGACGAGTTACTGAACAGGTAGAGTTATCTAGAGTTTGGTCCTAAGAAAAGACATTTCATGTTATTGGTAAAGATAAGTGGATCACTCCTTATATAATAGACTAAGTAAGATGTGTCTGTCAGTGTGTGTGTGTTGTGTGTGATGTGTTTGTTGCTTGTGTGTGGTTGTCTGTTGTGTCAGATTATAGGAGCGTCGAGAAAAGACAGGATGACAGTTCCGAGAAGAGTATACACGGCAGTACGGGAAGCTTTGGTGAGTGAAGGAGGTGAGTGTATAACACGCTGTTTGAATTGATAAGGGGCCTTAAAGGAGAGGACCGAGTCGAGTGCATACAGTATAGTGCGGGCCACATGAACATGGGAGAGTGACCGAGTCGAGTGCGTACAGTATGGTGCAGGTTCAACAATGTCGGTTGTCCCAGGTATGATAGAAGGACGTGGAGCAGGGCTTATTGATGGGTGGGCAGGGAAGTGACTCAGCTGATGAAGATTGAAGGGGAGTCAGAACGGGTTATCACACACTCAATAAGCGATACATGCATAGCTAGGGCGTTTGATTTCAGAAATGATATTACGAGTGGTAGGGACATCGACGCAGGTGACAGGAAGTGATAACGGCTGATAGGGGCTGATAAGGGACGTTGCCTGTTGTTGTACAGTCAAAGTGCTGGAGTCTTTACACAACCAAATTATAGAATTTAGTGATAGGGACATTGATGACGGAGTGACAGGCAGATAATCACCATGGCAGTAGATTTCTTCATTGTGCTTTTGAGCGGTTCTATTCAAGAGCGAAGCCGTCACTGCCGGTGTACATTGCTTCTTCCTTGACACGCTAATCGACAAATGAATGGTACCCAGCATTACAGGTAAGACATTGCTCGTCACGGTGCGGGCCGCGAATAAGGCATATTGTTATGGGCAGTTGTTCTAACAAAAAAACTCCGACTGAGTATGACAACCTTGGCTTTTCGCCGAGCTACATGCGACATAAATCTGTATAGAAGGCATATCCACTGGCAAACGACTACGAAATAATCGTTAAGGTCCGCCGAAGTATTGGCATTATAAAAAAGAACAAATTTCTATTGATTTTTGCTTGAAAAAACGAAATGTGGCTAGGGGTTAGACTTCCGCCTGGGTCTGGGAGCGGGTCATTCATGACAGCGGGCTACTACTGTGAGCTTAGAAATGTTTTTTTCGCTTCTTCGTTTTATTTGAATCAAATCACCCGTACACGTTTCTGATAAGATGAATAATAGAATGTTGGTAAATCACAGAAAGCGATCGATCAACGCCAGTATTTTCACCCTCCATGTATGATTTCACATTTATCTCATTCTATTCTGCTGAGCTGTTCCTCATGGGATTCACTTTTTCGGAAATTCGCCGGCGTCTTCTTGCGGTTGGTAACGTACAGGATCTTCACAGTGTATGGAGTGTATCGTACTTGGGCATGATTCGCGTTCATCTACTCCGTGATGTAGGAATCTATTAACCATTGTTTCGAACTGTAGTGGAAGACCTTCATAGTGCACACTTGCAGCCATCCTTCTCCACGATAGTATCTTCACCGAGTCTTTGCGTTCGTGGATGTATGCAGTCGGTTTCAGCCGGTGCTGAGGGTATCGTATGGGCTCTCGCCAAGGTTTGTAAGGTTTCCGTGATTTCTGGCTTTATTTCTCTTGAATTTCAGGATGGGGTCGTTTATGCTCTTTCTTCTGCCTATAATTTATTCTCCGGAACCCATTCCACTGGTGTTTGCAGAAGACAGACATTCTTAGAGAAGTAGGTGCTTTACTTGGAAATGATCAGAATATTTTTCCATCTTCTTCTCATATCGTTCAGAGTTCTCTTACACTTGTACCTTATATTTTCAGGTGGTTGAATATCAGAAGCATGTATTCATTCGTGGATTCGTCTCATTCCAAGGAACATCTGGCGGAACTTCAGGGTGGATGGAAGGACCAAGTGCAGTGAGCGGCCTGTTTGAAAAGTATTTAATCGAGAACATTAAAGCTGAAGGTGTGGTTGGATCATTCTTAAGTGACATTATAGGCTGCCATCTCGTGAATGGAGCTGGCTTGACGCCGAATGGCAAGTGGTCGATAAAGAGAAGTACGAAGATGGTTGGACATACGCAGACTCCATCGACGGGCAGTACCGCGCATTCACGAAGAAAAAGGTACTGATCTACTATTCTTCTTTAGTCTACGGTCTAATGATTTGTTCAGAATCAATTCCGACGACGCCGATGGCAACGACGTTGTCGATTTGAAGGTCGAGGACCATGGATTGCCGTTGAGACACCTCCAGTTCGCTCGATTGAAGTGCAGAAGATGAAAGCCGATAGGGTAGAAAATTTGTCCACGCCATTTCGCACAGATCAGTTTACGCTTCATATGCAGATACTTGTTTGGGCGGTTACCTACGGACGGACAAGTTTTGCTTAGACAAGGTGTCACAAGCGAACATCCTCAAGGAACTACTTGGAAACATGTTAGTTGCATTTTTCTTTATCGCTTAGAAGCGGCTACGCTCGACTTTTGGATCAGCTAGAGTGCAGCACCTTTCGTAGTCGTTGGGTAAAAGATTCCAAAACCTGGAGATCGAGCGAGATGTTGCACACATCGAGCAGACAACATATGCCAATCCGAGTGAGCTCCCTACCATTTCTGCTTGGCCCTCTGAATTATTAGGTGAATGCATTATAAGGGGATTCCGTACTACAGCCGAGTGTGCTGCAGATACTTTATACCATCATCTTCGAGGATCCCGGTCTTGGCCATGTGCTGGTTAGATGGCCCGTGGCTGTACATAGAACGGGGCCTATTCCGCTGCTAAAAGAACACGAAAATGAAGCTGAGGGTTTGCGGTAGGACGTCATCTGAAGCGCATCCACTTCGTGACACGCCGCACTACCAGCTGTGTGCATAGCCAATTCACTGGCGCTTCCTCTCTGTGCCCTCTCACGTTTGGTTGTTCTATTCCTTGTGGTTCTATTCCCTCCAAACAGGCAGCTTGCCATACATGCTGATCGCTGCGGGACCTCGTCATCTACGCATATGCCGCACGTTGTGGAAAGCGGGTGGACCCCGAAATGGCATCTGACTGTCACTACGCTCCAGCCTCACCCCGCGCCCCTGGGATGACAAAAGTGGCATTCTCCTGCAGCTACGGAACCATTCCCTTCTCACATGGCACCGATCCACCTCGCAGGTGACTTTGTGTTCAAGGCAAGCGGCACGATAAAAACACAAAGCGTGTAAGATAAATATGTGTAGCAGTACGGAATTCGGTGCCCCTGAGCAGGCGGTGCAAGGCGCCGTTTCCTACGATGGTCCGACCCGCACGCCAACCGCAATTGGAGCACATGTACATCGACGCTTCTTCTCGTACCGCTTCATTTATGAAGTACAATTTATTTGAAGCGTTGCTATATAGGTATATGAGTACATACGTGCAGCAGTATCTATCCAGTAGCTGACACAATGCCAACTGGAACTTGTCCAAAAATGCTTGTCCAACGCCGTGCAGAACAAAGGCCTTCATCGCGGATTTTTGGCCATTCAGCTTCGTTTTGCGTCATTTTCCCGACTAAAGCGCAACTGCTGCTATGTTTTGAGCAAGCGCCAAATTATCGTGCATTATGCCTTCAACCCAGCAATTTCATTCAAATTTACGTAATGAACTGATCTTCAATAGATTATTGGGGATTTCGCCATCAGTTCAATTTCTTGTGCTTCTCCGACATGTGTTTGGGCGACTACAGTGGATGGCAGATTGCTGCGACGAGAGTGCTTGGATCAGACGGATATGGAGTCTGTTGGTAAGATTGCCTTTCGAACCTGTCCTTTCTCGCTTCCTCTATTGCCTTAGTTTCAAGTGTTGAATTTATTCAGACTGGTCAGAAGTAGTTTATTCCCCGTTGAAAAGCGTGTTCTCCTTTTGTGCCTCGGAGAACTACGTCTTTATCCTCCCAGCAAGTGATCCTCAGCTCATTCTTATCGATGTAAAACGCTGTGAGTTGTTAAGACACTTTCATACCATCTTACCCCTGTTGGCGAAAACCATGCATTTTAGTGAGTTCGAAGATCTGCCTGTCCATTCCAAAAGCTATTTGTATCACTGTGGATAAACAGGGTAATCTGTACTATTGTGATGGGTCAAGTATTGTACAATTGGAGAAGTACTATGTAAATGTCAATCAGCAGTGCGAAGTAGATTTCCGAATTTCGGAGAGAATTTCGGATGGAAGCTATGCCCAATGTTGTTTCGAATGAGCTTCGATAATTGTTTGTCCCGTTTTGTCATCTGTGATTTTAACACATTGGCGACAAGGCGCCTTTTCGCGTGTCTGCCGCGTGGGACCAAGCAGTTTTTCCCTATTTTCGAAGAATGCGCATAAATGCTAGGGCGTTTATACACCAAAACAATTGAAGAAGGACTAGAATTCAATGCAGAAGCTGGTAAGGCTTCGCTGTTTTTGTTCACTTTCAAGATAAACCCTAAATTTCATGGAATACTCCCGCCTCATTCACGTGGAACGTGGGAACAAGGTCGCAAAAAAGGAATATTTTCGCGCCAGAGGTGGTAAATTGGATTCGATTCAGATCTGCTATTGTTGAAAGTTACCTTATCACATTAGCTATCTGCATGTGGAGCTTCAGTTCTATATATCCAAGAATTATCTTTTTTTCCTAGGAAATCACTTTCGTTTGTCTCCTCGGTAAATACTCTCAATGACACAACTGCACGGTTTACAGCTACTGTATATTCTACAATGCCTTCCTGGACAATATGTGGCTGTTGAAAATTTGAAACGTATTCAAATTGGTTTTTTACCCATGCCGCATCCCAGCAGTGGGACGCAATGTCCCACGCGGCAAAAAAGGTGCGTCCCAGCAGTGGGACGCAATGTCGCCAACGTGTTAATTGGATTTGGATAGTTTTCAATGAATAGTCATATTTTCGCTGTCGTCTTTGCACATTGTACATATCTACGGGCAACTCGAGTGGCTCGCTCTCTCGAAGTCCCTTCATTCAAAAAAGAAAAACCCGTGCCTCGGCTTGCCACATGTTTTTTTCACCTTTCTGTGCTAGGGGTCCAGGGTAGGTCTACTAGCCATCGCTGCGCTGCTTGTGTGTATGTGCGCAGAAAGGGTTCACCATACAACTGGTCTGATCTTTTCAGCCTGGCAGGCATGCTAGTGCGCTGATTCATCAGTTTTCTCAGCTTGGTGAAAACTGTACTCTTATAGAAAAATTTAAATTGAACAAGCTTAGCCGAGTCGCTTTGATTAGACCTATGCTCTTTTAAGCTTACGAGATAGTCCGAGCTTCATTATGAACAACTGGAGGGTGCTCACTGTCGCGTGCATCACATGAGGAACCCGGCTTGCTTACCACGCGAACGATCCGAGGATCAAATCCTGGATCGGCTTCCGCTCAAGCCAACCAAGCCTTCTACCCTCCGGTGATGGTAAATTGGTAACAGATTCGTCTAGGTTCTGAGTGGAAATAGAATGTGTGTCGCATCGCGTAAAGGGATTGATCAACGGCGAGGAGTTTGTCCTTTATTCTTCAAACAGGTAAAAATGTTTTGCGACAGCACAACGCCGAGCTTGGTCTTTTCAATGGCTTAACTCATTTTGATAGTTGAAAGTTTCCTTTTGCGGATGAGTTGAGTTCCGATACCTGCCAGCTTATTTCTTACACAAATATTGGGTTGATCCATAAGTAATGGAGCTTTTTTTTTTCTAATTTGCAAATTCGCAATAAGGATCGAGAATCAAACAAATGAGTTCTATATTAACTGACAGGAAATTCTTCGCGCTGTAAGATATCATGGTTGGTTTCTCGAAGACAATTTGCATTAATTTTTTAGTGCTCGAAGCTGGGATTAAGGTCGACGAAGTTCGGCATTTCCGACGCCCTCTTCTTTTTATATTTAAATGAAGAGCTAGGTTCGTACCAAAGAGTGGGAAAGTGAAAGAGATCCTGGAATGCTATCACATCTTCATTGAGCATCACCCCTGCTTGATGGGAAAGGTTCAAAACTTGGTGGACGTGCTCTACAGGCAGTCGCTCCCTGACAGTAAGAGCGCGCCTCATGCGATGCACATTAAAAGCTTTGAACTCTCATCTCTTATTTGCTGATCCTGATCATGCTTAAGAAGCGCCATTTCGTGCTCATAGAAATCACAGAGCTGCCTCTGCGTTTTGTCAGCCAAGATTAACTGCAAAAAGCGGCAGTCAAAACTGTCACTTGTCACGACCCGACTTCCCACTTTACTTACTTACTTGGATACTTGGACGCTCGTTTTCAGCCGGTTCTCTTCAGCGACGAGCACACGCTTCCCTCCATTGTTTGCGATCTTGAGCGGTTTGGACCCAGTGTTGGTCTGCAGCTTCTTGGAGTTGCTTCAAGGAGTCTCTCCAACGGGTTGCAGGGCGGCCAGCCTTGCGCTTCGCGTCTCGGATACCAGAGTGTGATGCGAGTGGTCCACCGTGTCCGGCCCATCTCTTCTTTGCATTCCACGCGTATACTACGGCATCGTGGATGCCTGACATTGAGCGCATGTCTGTACTGCGCAGATTGCGACATCTCTGCTCACGGCGGTTGATATTCAGCAGGGTCCGTTCCAATGCTCGTTGGGCACGTGTCAACATCAGCGTGGACGCCTTGTTCTCTGCCCACGTCTCGGATGCGTAACAAAGTGCAGGCAGTACTGTAGAGTCGAATAGAGCAGCTCGTATTTTCCTGTCCGAAATGAGCTGGGCCGCCTCTCTTATGCGTCCCATTGCCGTCCATGCGCATTTTTTGCGTCTCATAATTTCTTCGCGCAAATTGTTGTCCATGGAGATGAGTCGACCAAGGTAAACGTAACGGTCGGTATCCGGTAGAGCAGTGCCTTCGAGTGTGATGGGTGACGCATCTGCCCATTCGTTGCGCATGACCTCGGTCTTGCTCCGGTTCATCGTGGGGCCAATAGCTTTGCCGACGTTGTTCACCATCCGCTGTAGCTCTGCTGAGTTTTGACTGATAAGGAGAATGTCGTCTGCGAATCGTAGGTTAGATAGCTTCTTTCCGTCGTTGATGCCTTTATCGTCCCAGTCGAGTTGCAGCATCGCGTGGTTGAGTGCGGTGGTGAACAGCTTGGGAGAGATCGTATCACCTTGTCTGACTCCTTTTTCGATCGGCACTCGTAGCTCTCGTTGAAAAATGCGGATGGTGGTAGATGTGTCCATGGTGCATTTTTCCAGCAGGTTTATGTAGCACGGGTCGACACCAGCATGGTGCAGCGCATTCCAAATAGAGTTCAGTTCCACACTGTCGAATGCTTTCGTATAGTCGATGAAGCAGAGGAGGAGCGGCTGCTTGTATTCCTTGGTTCGCTCAATCAACTGCGTGACAGTATGGATGTGGTCCATGCAACAGAAGCCCTTGCGAAACCCGGCCTGTTCCACTGGTTGATAGTCATCCAGTTGTTTCTCGAGCCTGTTGAGGATTACCTTCGTGAACAACTTGTATGGCTGCGAGAGGAGGGCGATGGGGCGGTAGTTCTTCATTAGGTCGCGCTCGCCCTTCTTGAACAGAAGAACCGTGCTTGACGTCTTCCACTGGTCCGGGATCTCTTGCGCGTCCATGTACCTGTTATAGCGCCTGGTGAGCTGTTTTATGACGGTGCGGGACGCCGACTTCAGAAAGTCTACTGAGATGCGGTCAGGTCCTGGTGCCTTCCCCGGCTTCATTTGACGCAAGGCGTGTTCCACCTCCCACTCTTCAATCTGTGGGGCCACGTCTTGCGTAGGTGTAGGTATGCGCGGAACTGGCATCGTTGATTGTTAGAGAACCGTGTATAAATTGACGGCCCTTCAATCCTCGCTCTCGATGTCTACGGTCTGTCAATCGCGTCTCGCATAACCGTGGTGACTGAGCGAGAGTCGTTGATGTCTCGACGACATCGTTTGAGACTCCATCGCTCGGTCGCTTGTCCGCCGGCTCTCCTCTTCAAGCCGCAGTATTCTTGTAACGCTGAATCGGACTGCCCTGTCATTGCGATGCGGCACGTTTTGTTGATCACGGCGCGCTCCAATAGTGTTGATGCAGGGTTACGATGGACAACAGCGCGGCTGCAGAAGTGCGCGAGCCTTGTCGTCAATCCTGCCTCTCGAATCCGTCTTTGTTGTGATAGCCGATGCCATAGCGCAATGTAGAAGTCCTTCTGAGCATGTTATAGTCTGCGACAAGTCTTGCGCCTCTTGCCACGTGTAGTGAGTGGCGGTCGCCTCCATGACGTTTGTGTCGTAATGTGGCAGCCGTATGGGTGGAGGTCGGAAGAAGTCGCTTCTTCGGATTATCGCTGGACGAATTTACTTTTTGACTAGTCTATGGTCGCCTCACAAGGGAAGGTTCTTCAGGTAGTGGCGCGCTTTTCGAAAATCGATTTGTTGGCATTTGTAAGGTCCGCGAATAAAAGGACACAAACATGAGTTTCATTTTTTTGCTAATGCGTTTCTGTGGTCAAAAACTGAGTGAAAAGTTTCTGCGTAGAAGAGATTTTGTAACCATTTTCCCGAGCTTTTCTATTCATAATGTTAAGTATGCATAGCAGATGAGACCTTCGTCGACACTGCATCGAAAACAATACAATTCAAGGTAAAAAAGTACTTTATTTGGCACATAGTGAGGCAGCATTGTAGTTTCTCAAGAGATTCTCGCAGCATCCCCACCCGCAGCTGGCGTGAGGAGGGGTGTTCAGAGCCATGTTGGCGCCAAATGACCTAGACGCCAATTTCAAAGGTCAGAATCGTCATCAGGGCCATTAATAACCTCTATATATAGACTTCAGCAAATTTTCTCCTCGAGATGAGCGCTTTACAGCCCTTTGCGTGGTTGGCAACAATTCAGTGGAAGAATGCTCTTGCAGCAAGTCGGCGCTAGGCTGCGCCGTGGTCAAAAATGGGTGTCGTAAATCCAAAACCGAAAAACGTATAAAGTATCCGAAAAATGCAAAGAGTTAGTCGCCAAGGGGATCCGATCCAAGAACCTTCTTCGCGAGAGCCCACCGCACTATCCACTCCGCCATCCGCCGAGCACGAACAGCGGTTGCGAGAATCGTTCAAGTAACTTCGGTATTACTCCCCTCCGTCCACTTTATTATTGGCTTTACTTTGCTATCTTTTTCAATATACAGGGGGGCCAAAAAAAAGTCATTCCGGCCGAGTCACATATGAGCGAAGTTTTCGCAGCCCAGACAGAGGAAGTGGATATGAGTAC